GAGTGCAGCAGCAGTGGCAGGAGCCTATCCCGCCTCAGCGGCAGCACTAAGGATGTCTGACATGGGGAGCAGGCGTAAGCCGTTAGTTGGATATCCCCTGACAGCTCCCGGACAGCTAGAGGGCACAGGCTGGGTGGGCTGAGGGACCTCCCCCCGGAGTGCATGATTTTCATGCACCAAGCCTCTAGTATATTATAAAATTAAAAGTATACCAGAGCTAAGTCTTCCTGCTATTATGTGATTAAGTTGAATTCAACAGTCATAAGATTAACTATGCACCCATGACTTCCTAAAGCAAATACTTAGGATGTTTTAGAAGAGAATGGTTTAGAGTAGCGATTTTCAACTCTTTTCATCTCACATATATACTACTACGTTACTAAAATTCTGCGGCACACCAAAAAATGTATTTTTGCTGATCTGGCTACAAAAATAGGTATAATTTTGATTGTTGTGTGGCTATTGTCATTCTTTTATTTGACAATCCACGGGAAAAGGTCAGTGTCCCTGAATAATCAGGTATTGCAAGTTTTTAAAATTCTTGTGCCAAATCACTGGTATAGAGTAAATCACACACCACTGGACTTATACCTCTATAATTCAGTTGTTGTGATGATACTGGATAAGAAACTTAATGTTTCAGTCATCTAAACTATAAAAATAAGTTCCTACTCCAACGAGTAACCAACAAAGGAACTTGTAAGTTCCTCTTTCCTTTCTTACTGCTTTAAATTCTTGATAATTTAAAAGACCTCCTTCATATGGCCTTGCCAATTTTGTCTTTCCAAAACTTTTTTTCTTCTCTAGTTAATACTGAAAAAACATGTAACTATAAAAGGGCCTTTCCTGGGCCTTCAACTGGTGTTTTTCTAGTCTATTGACAGCAATATTGTTTTGTTGGCAAACAAAACCCCCAAGTCAATATTTCAGTGTCTTTTACAATACCCCTTCCTGTGCCAAATCAAAACAATAATCTCTCCTCCTGGGATTACTAGGCTCCAAATGACAAATACAGTAACAGCTACAACTTTTTTTTTTTCCTTTAAAGATGACACCTATGAAGTGAAGGTCAAGGATATATTAAATGTAGGTCTCTTCATGAACACAGGCCTATTAACTCTATCTCCAGTGCATCTTCTCCCCTAAATATTCTGAGTTATATGAACGTAAAGTTAGCAACTCTGATATATCTGAATGTTGAAAGATGGTGCTTGAAGTTGCTCTTCTATAGGAATGCTTGGTAGCCAGTTGCCAGTTTAGACAAAAAAGGGAATATGGGCCCTTCTAATATTAATATGCATAAGCATTTTAAAAAATCACTGTACACTTCTGGGAAATAAGTAGCGGTATTATTTATTTGTCATATTTACATACTTACAAAATTATATAACCCAATACATCATCCTGCATAGTACCTTAAAAACCATATTCTGGGAGTAAAAATCTAAGTTTCTTAATAATTTACGCATAACTCAACATCTTCTAGAACAGCGGCTCTCAACCTGTGGGTCGCGACCATCGGAAAACACACATAGCATATCAGGTATTTACATTACGATTCATAACAGTAGCAAAATTACAGTTATGAAGTAGCGACGAAAATAATCTTATGGTTAGGGGTCACAACATGAACTGTATTAAAGGGTTGCGGCATTAGGAAAGTTGAGAACCACTGTTCTAGAACATAGAAAGTTTGGCTTCACAGAACATAAATTCCTGTTAAGAATTTTTTCTAGCCAAGGAATAAAATAAATCCAACAACATATTAAAGTAATTTAGTTGACCCTGAGTATGTCACTAATTTGCATAATTTTTAATAGATGTACATCTGTACTCTTATCTACTTGTTCATCTGTATGTACTCTTATCTACTTACTATCTGCTACCATTTTGTATATATTTATCTCAATTTCTTCATTACTCCTTGAGAGAAAGAGGAACAAAGAGTAGGGAAGTAATAATGGTAAGAGATCAGAAGAGAAAACCACTAGTATTGCCTAAAGCTTTCCAACTCCATAAGTTTGTGGCACAGTTCTAGGTCCAGGGTTGCTGGACAAACTTAGTAACAGGAAGATCTTGAATAATCTGAGTACCTCTGTCAACTGAGGTTGATGTTAAATTACTCTTCCTGCATTTTTACCTGTTCTCTTTCACACTAATTAAAACGAAGACATGTATAAGCTTATAAAATTCAGTAAGTAGTTACTGGAGCACTTCAGGAAAAATAAATAAATCACAAACTTGACCAAAACAATAGCAGTAAAGGACTGTGTGGAAGGTAAGTTTTCTTTCCTAAAAAGCTTGAAGGAGGAAAAAGCCAACAGCTCCCAGTCCAAATCTAAGAAATGCTAGTGTGGGAGTTGGAAGGAGATGAACAGAAAGAGAAAAGAACAGAGGGAAGTTGGATGATGGGTAAAAGGACCATGGTCTTAAATCGATGGTGAGCACCAAAACACCAACACGAGCAGACTGCCCTGCTAATGCTGCTGTGGTGTGAGAGAGACAATGAGTTACTTTTAGGATCTGTAAAACTTCCCAGTAATAGAAGGGAAGTAGCAAAAGTATTTTAATTAGGAATACTTTCCTTCATCCATACTCATAATTAGTCATCAGGCCATGCCATGATAAAATACTATTAGAAAAGGGACCTTTGAAAATAAAGGACATATACAAATGGTAGAGAAAGGCTTCTCTTATTCATGAAAGATGGAGAAAACAAAGAGGAAAAAAGTATTCTGTCCCTATTATGCCACAACTGGTTTCATCTCTTTTCTCTCATTACCTTGAATGACAGCTTGAATTTCACTGAATACTTATTAGCCCCAGGTAAAAAACTGCAAAAATACAAAGCAAACCTTATGTGTAATGACAGTGCAGGATAAGAGCTTTAACACCCTTTATTAAGATTGTGCTAATTCTTTTATCTATAAAAACTGCATAGAAGAGTAAATAAATTACATTTATATAAGAAACTATCTCAAGTGTTATTTAAACTTGCATATATAGAGTTTAAAAGTGTAAGACAAACTAATTTTGATTTATATAAAACACAAAAATATTTGGGAGAAAAAGAAACTTTCACTAAGTATCAACATAATTGACTAAATAATAAACCAAATTGCATATAAAAGTTTCTTTGAAAAGTTCCATTAAAAGTAAAGGCAGAATGTAGCAAGTTGGAAAAGTAGTGTTTAAGGCAAACTTAGTCAGAAGTAACCTTAATTAAATAAGAAGCATACAATCCCATTAACAACAAAATAATTTCCTCCCAAAATTTCTCCATTACAATGGAAAAATATGAATGGAATCAGAAATAATGGCCGTTGTCAGAATTTACTAGGAAATACTGTATAGCAGTATTAATAACTCAAATGCTTCTGATTTAAAAAATACTCGAATCATTTGCCATTTAGTTGTCACAAAACAATCAAAAAGTAAAATGTATTACCCTAATGATCAGAGTATAAACCTGTAAGATGCCAGAAGTTATTTAAAAAGAAAAATATAGAATTATTCACACTATGTGTGTACATGATAACCAAAGAGAAAATGATACATTCTGTTGTTTTGGCCCATGTTAAAACTATGCAAACAAAATGTGCACCATCTCTCTACAGGTAGGTTTTTTAGGGTAAATTGTTGAGCAGACGCTCAGTATCAGACCTGAGATCATGTGCACACACAAAAAAACCTTCAAAGAATGAGAGATTAATCTTGAATTAAAAGAAACAATGCTTTTCAAGAATATTCAACGAGTATGTCATTATGTTATGAAAAACAAAATAATCAAGTACATATCAAGTTACATTTCTTAACACATGAATTTGTACTCTAAATCTGGTATCAAATTGTCCTATAAAAATAGTTATATATTTGAGAACTATAGTACAGGTAATTAAATGATCAAAAAAACGATCTGTTTCCTTTCATTTGCTGACATGACACCATGGCTTTTTAAAGGGAAAGAAAACTGCAGCCTACAGGAAAATTACCAAAACTGCTGGATCACTGACGCTATCCAAGTTCAGAAAGTAAATGTCTTCTTCACCACCAAGCTCAAGGTGGGGATGTCTCAGGATCTAGGTAGGTCTCTCACACGGTCCTGGGGGGCAGGCGCTGTTTATACATGCCCGCTATTGCTTTGGCTGCACTGTAGATCATCTGTCGACGTGACATGCCAGTGAAAGCCAGGTGCCAATCAGTCCGGCTGACATTTGGTAAACTCTTTTCCAGGACTTCGCCCACTGTCACCAAAAGGCCTGACCACCTCAGGTTGTAGTCCTGGGGAGTTAGACTTTGAGCCTATAGAAAAATGAAATTTATATTATTTATAATACATTTAAAAAATCATTGGAAATAGCTGTGACATTTCAAAGTCTCTCAGGTTGCTCTTAATACTGATAATAGACCCTGAGAAACAGCTAATGCTGCCAACTGTATGAAGTTCCAAAGCTATGAAAGAATCAACACGATATTGCACACAGCTAATTTGTTTAAAATATAACCAAGGTCTTAAGTCTAATGACTTTATCTAACAGCTCAGTGTCAGAGGGCCTAAGCTCTACTTCTACATTCGTTGTCACTTCAGGTTCATAATAAAATTAGTACTAAATAAAATTAGTACTAAAATAGAAATATTGTATCTCTTTACAGTTATGACATTCCTACCAGAAAGAAGGAAATTGCATGCACATTAGGCTTTAATCCATTCAGAAAAGGATAGTTCAATTAATTTGTAGAATACCCCCAGAAACTTTATTTTCATGGGAATAAGTTAATAACTATAAAATAATATGCAGTCCAGGATAGCATAATTACATCATTCAAACTCCAACAGTAAGGAAGCACAGAATTAAACTTTTAGGACAGATAAAAAAGGAACAGGGAGAGCTGAATAGCAGGAATAAAAGGAAGGCACATGCTTTGGTATCTTAGTTTTGAAGCTCATGACAAAAAAAAAAAATTAAATGGCAATAGATAAAAAGGCAAAGTAAAAAGCAAATGACACTCTTTTCAGTATCACTCTTCAGAGTTAACCACATAACAGCTTGTTGCGTTTTGTTTTCTATTAATATATATAATGTTAAAGTATATATGTGTACATATGTAAACATATGGATCATACTAGATGCAGTTTATTTTTACTTGGCAATATGTCCTAAGTTTTGATATTAGTTTATACAGTTTTGATGCTTTATTCTTTGAGCATTATATGTTTTTTTCTCAATATGTATTCCTAAAAATAAAATAAAAATTATCCTTCTGCAATGGTCAGACATTGAGCACAGGAGTCAGCAAACTTTTTCTGAAAAGGGCCAGATAGTAAGCAGTCTAAGCTCTGTGGGCAGGATGGTTTCTACTGTTACTAGTCAATTACTAAAGTACAAAAGCAGCCATAAACATGTAAATTAATGGGCAGGAGTGTGTTCCAATAAAATTTTACAAAAACAGGCATGCGTGCCAGATTTGGCTGCAGGCTACTTTTTTTGCTGACCCCTGAGGCACCCTTATAATGACAAAGTTTCTAATATTTATCATTACAGAGCCTTTTGTCACAATAGTGAATAAAATGGTCATGGGGTGAAGAGGTTTCCAAGACTCCCCTGACGAGTGCTATAACAGATTGAAATAATATAAATGTAAAGGTTGATAGAATTATGAAAGCTCAATGTTTAAGCATGTATATGTAAATAAGTTGTGTCCCTCTACCTGGATGCTTTATGGGAACAGATATTATGTCTGCTAGAAAACACTTTCCTTACCTAGTATTATAAAACCAAACCCTGTTGATAGTCCTAACAGAGACTACAGTTAGAAGCATAAGAGTTGATGGAATTACCATGCAAGTTTGTAGTAGAATTGGTATATTTGAATGGCCTTTACATGAAATCGTTGTTTCCTTTACCTGACTACTTTGGGGATGGACACTGTATTTCACTGGGGAATGTTTCGTCTACCTAGTATTGTAAAACAGAGGCATGTACATCTGCCCTTCAAGCAGTTAATTAGACATGCTATATGGGAATCAGTACAACTGCCTCAGCCCACACAGTATAGGATAGAAGCTGGAGTGATGGTAGGGGCAAAAACCTGTGAGTGCCTCCCAGCAATGACTACTGGGACTTTGGATCAGAGAATTTCCAATTGCGGGGCATTTGCTACCTTGTTATTAGACATTCTTAATTGAAGCTACACTTATGACTGAAGGACTTACACTGATGCTGCTGCTGAAGAAATGCCCTAATGGGATGGCAGTGACCGGAACAATGAGCTTTCATAGTTCTATTCCCCTACAATATTATGGAAGTAGTTTACATAGGATCATGCTGCCGAGGGAATGCGAGGAGGAGATGCAAGCAGGGAGTCTCTTTGCTTGTGGGACCAATTCTGGAGACACCCGAGGAGCTGCTGGAACCAACTGCTGCATAGACAGTGCCCTCTGAACAGCTCTCAGGTGAAAGACTCCTTTGTTTACAAATGGCAGTTCCAAGGTGAATGGACAACATCCCATTTGGAAGGCCACGACTCTGACTTAAAGTGAAAACAATCAGCAGGGTGGGCTGAAGTGCATGCTGTTTTCCTAATAGTGATGGAAAAATTGAACAGTGGTAAAATCCCCTATGCATCAGTTTTTACTGATTTACAGGCAGTGGCCTGGCCCTATGGTCAGGCAGGAGGGCAATGGGAACCTAGCCTGTTAAAAGGATGCACATATGGGCTGAGGGAAATACACTTGCTAGACTGGGATTGCTGCCTGCTCTATGGACCATCACAGTGGCTAAACCTAATGTCCTTTCCAAAAGTAGAAAAGTTTGGGTATAAATGGAGAGAAGGAAAAACAGTTGCTATGGGTAAGAGAATGAATAAATGGTTTATGTAATGAGGGAAATCAAATATTACATTAACAACTCAAAAGGTTCAATGCAAGAGTGATACTGTCTCTTAGCTTCATTATACATGCATGCCTTGTTTTATTTCACTTCACTTCCTGCTTTACAGATATTGTTTTTTTACAAATTTAAGGTCTGTGGCAATCCTGCATCAAGCAAGTCTAACAGCACCATTTTTCCAGGTTCAGATAATGGTGAGCACTTTTAAATTAAGATATGTGCACGGTTTTTTATAGACATACTGATATTATTGCATTTATTAGACTACAGTATTGTGTAAACATTACTTTTACATGCACCAGAAAACATTGTGGTGGTCTGAAACCTAACCTGCACTATCTATGAGGCATGCTTGTGCCTGCAAGGGTGAAGCCCTATATTGCTGACATCGCCTTTGCTTTGGGAACCTGAACAGATAAAATAGAAACCTGCAAACCTGAGTGGCCCCACCCTGGGAGACATTTTCATATATGAAAGACTAGAAGTTATTAATAACTGAATGGGAGCTTAATGTGCCTGTATCGTTTGTGACTGTTTCACTATAAGGGATCTGTGTTTCAAGACCACAGTGGTAGACTCTAATAAGAAGTACATAGTCTTCATCCCAATTTTTGGCAGAGCTCCCAAAACTCTTGTAATTTCCTAAGTGTTAAAAGAGCTATAAATATGTATTAGGTTAATGAGATGACTTTGGAAAGCTTCATTGAGCTGATTAAGGCTGAATCATATGAAACTGCCAATATTTGACTTTTTTAGACAGCAATTCCATATGGTTCAACCTAATTACTAAATCGACCATTTTGTCCAATTTTTCTAATTTATTGGCATAACAATATGCATAATATTTGCTTACAATCTTGTAATCACCTTCATATTAGAGTTTAATGTTAACATCTACAAAAATGCTTTCTTGTACTTCTGAAAATAAATTATGGTATAAATAAAAGGTTCAATAACTTCAAAATTCCAAGCATCAATTCTTAGTCCCCATCTCAGCTGCAAACCTATTAAGAGAGCCACAAGTTGCTTCCAGGGATTCTATGCACACACCTGCCCAATTTATATGTGAGTACATACATGTATTTTCTTGAGAATCCAATAAAGTTTTGAGATGACAATGTGATAAAAAAAAATCAACAAAAATGCCATTTGAGTACAAAGATTCCAATGTAAATAAGCACTTATATTCCATTTTGTTCAAGAAAAAAATAACAAAAATATAGAATCAAAATCATTACAGATTTATGCCTCAGTATAGAAACAATGTGAATAGGTAAAGACATATGCCTTACACTAAGGTTCCTATTTACCACCAAAGAGGAAGATCAAGACAAAGGTATTAGGGAAAATAAGGGAAAGGTAAACATAAAACCAGAAGAGGTAAATCTCTTTTCATCTTAGGGTGAGGAAAATAGTGATTAACTATATTACCTTTTTAAAGACAGTTGGAAAACAAAAGTAAGGAGGTACTAAAACAGAAGGAAAAAAAGCTAGGAGGCTATTTCCAACAAAAAATCTGCCCACATTTTTATTTTGAAACAATACTGAAAGCTTCCCTGGAGCATAATGAAAATGGAAAAAACTAACCTGTTGTACGAATTCCAAAGGCACTGATGTTGCTTGTGTGAATGTTTCTAGGTGAATGCCATGGACAGGATCTTCCACTATCAAACAGCCAATATCAAACCATCTGCAACAGAATATGAGTTTCAAGTCATGTGCTAAATAAAAGGTATAAATATCATTTTGATAAAATATTAACAGATTTCAAAAAAGAAATGTTTTTCTAATCAATTTTCAAGAAAACAACCCATAAAAACAATATATAATATTCCCCCATTGGCTTAATTCCAAGAGGAGGAATAATAATAAAAAAATAATAAAATAATTGAAAATTACTTATCATGGAAAGTTCTTGTGTATTCACTGTGGTGCTAGTGAATACAGGTTAGAAGAACTCCAAGGTCGTCTTGTTCTCTAAAATACTATCATGCTCCTAAACATGTCCCCCCAGATATCCCTTTCAACTCAGTAAGTCTAAAACTGCAATACCTATCATACCCACCAAACCTCTTCCATTTCTTTCACTGTTAGTGCCGTTGGCTGAGGAAACTTTCAGTTCTCCTCCCCCTCTTCTTCCTACTAATCTTTCAACTTCACCTCACTCCCTGCCCCAGGGAGAAAGAAAAACGGCAATCTCTACTGATCAAGTTCAAATAGTTTGTCATGCATAGTATTTTTAATATGTCACTTGAAAAAATATGGAAATTTTTTTCTATATAGCCAATTGGAAAGCTTATTAGTAAATTAAAAAATAAGCTCAGAGGGACTAACAAATCCTTTCCTCATTCCTGATAAATCCTTCACCATGAAAACTTTTTCCATTTAAAAGATACTTGTAAGTTGACTTAAGTGAAGTCAACTGTAACACCACCAGCATTTTAACCAGAATCAAAACCACAAGACGCCCTATCATCACTAATCATCCAGAAAATGCAAACCCAAACCATATGTAACATCACCTCACACCTGTTGAAATGGCTATTATCAAAAAGGTAGAAAACTTACAAACTGTTGGTAGGAATGTAAATTGGTACAGCCACTATGGAAAACAGTATGGAGGTGTCCCAAAAAATGAAAAATAATATATGATCCAGCAATCTATTTCAGAGTATTTATAAAACACTAAAAGATACACGTACCCCTATGTTCACTGCAACATTATTTAAAAGAGCCCAGGTATGGAAGCAATGTAAGTGTCCACTGAAGGATGAATGGATAAAGAAAATGTGTACACAGACACTGGAATATAATTCAGCCATAAAAAAGGACATCTTGCCATTTATGACAAGGCACATGGACACTGAGAGCACTATGCTAAGGGAACTAAGAGAAAGACAAATATTGTATGATTTGACATATATGGAATCTAAAACCAAATTTAAAACACAGAACACGACATACAACGAGCAGATTGGTGCTTGCCAGAGGCTGGGTGAAGGGGATCAAAAGGTACAAACTTCAAGTTATAAAATAAGTCATTGGAATATAATGTACAACGTGGTGACTACAATGAATAATACTGTATTGTATATTTGAAAGCTACTAAGAAAGATCTTAAGAGTTCTCATTACTAGAAAAAAAAAAAAAAACAACAAGCCTCTTACTTGTCAGGAAGCAATTCTGCAATAAAGTTTTCTACTGACACAGCAATCTGTTTCTCATGGATCACTCCAGTTCGACGCAAGGTATCTATCCGTTCCTGGGCACCCTGAATAACAGGGTAGGTTAGAAACCATTTCAAATTATTCATTACTAAATATACTAATTTATGATTATACAAGCAATACATGCATACATTTATACAAACACACAACTATTGATTCACACAATGCAGAAGACAAAAGGTGAAAAAGTACAATCGTGTTCCTCTCACGATTCGGTTTGGAGTATGCCTTCCAAATTATTCCAATTTGCGTTATTGTTTTGGTTGCTACTGTAAAATGAATTATTTATATATTCTATGTTCTAAATGGTTATTACTAATATAAGAAAACTGTTTTTTAATGTTAACCTGGCAAGGAACCCTCCTACTGAATAAATATTTTTTTTATCAATCCCAGATTTTTAGTTGATTCTCTCAAATTTTCTAAGTAGGCAATCATATCAGTAGTAAATGTTTAGTCTTCTGATTCTCTTTAAATATAACTTTAAGGTGACAGTTTTAAGTTTTATTCAGGAATATTATCACCATTAATGAAACAAAATTGAGGGGCTACAAACACTATGCAGATAAATCAAGATCATGAATTAAATAATCTTTTTACAGAAAACTAAAAACTGGACTAATGAAAACAAGGTTGCTGTTTACTATTTTTATCTGAATCATTTCATTAACAGTGATCATGAGTAATGTGTTCAAAAAGCAAGATGAAAAGTTATTTCTAAATAAAATTAGCCATAGTTAAATACCTATTTTTATTTTAGACAGCAGAGCTTAATAGTGAATGAGATTAAGGGATCAATTCCTATTCAAGTGAAAACTGAGAAAGCTAAGATACTTCTAGAGACAACTGAATTTATTTCAGAGATAACTGAAATAAACAGAAAGTGAAAACTAGATGAGAATGAATAAAGATATTAACTTATAAAGATGAAGGATGAAAGAAGATATTTACAAATAAATCAAGACTGTGTGTATTTGCTTACTCTTAACTCTTACATCTCTAGTATATAGCACAGTGTCTAATCTAATAGGCCTGTAGTAAGAACTTAACTACATGAAAACTGAACAAAAGAAAGAGCTTCTGAAGGCCTGTATCGCTAATGTTCAGAATCTAAATAATTTTTGGGAAAAAAATGTAATGAATAAGATAAACTTAGTTCTTTATACTGGATATTATAAATTTACCTAATTCACTCCTCCCAAGAGGTAATTATGGCTGAATTTTAATTATAAAGTTGAAATAAATGTTAATTCAGTAAAAACTATTAATGGATTAGGGGTATACTTAGAGACTCACCCCTAACTCTTTGAAGGTGATATCTCAGCTATGCACTATAACAAAATATTCCTAGATTTTATGCTTCTAGGGAACAGAAACTGTTCATTTCTTGGTATCCTACAGCACTGCACTTTATACTTCGTAAGGGTCATAAAATATTTCACTGAAATTAATTAGCACCTACTAGAGATATAGAAATGAGCTAGGTAGACAAGTCAAATTCTTTTTTTTGTTTGTTTACGGAATCCAGAAGAGAAAATGAAGAGGGGGTCATATTCACCTCTCTTATCCTCTGACCACATTAATTAAATGTGGCATCTTTTGGAGTCACAATTATAGAAATTTTAATATCATTCCCTACCAATATCCTGAGAATGGAATTTTAACTTTATTTTCAAAAAGTACAGGGGATCAAAAATTAGGTGGTATAGAGGCCACATTGAATTATCTCAGTACTAAAGTAAGATACCCAAAGACCCTAGAGCTTACCCTGTACTCTAAGGACTTATACTAAGAGTCATGAATTTAGTGCTGTTAACTATGAGAGGTTACTGTTAATGAATAAAATATATACATTAAGTTGTATTTAAACATAGCAGTCATAAAACAAAGTTATCTATTAATTGGTTGGCAAAAATGCTGTAATTAGAGGCTCCTAACCCTAAAGAAATACATACTCGTAAGTGTAAAGTATTATTAATAGTGATAGTAATAAAAAGCTTATGGGACTTGAGGGTTACTATCTCTTTAGTAATTAATTTGAATGTTAACACTGGGTTAAGAATATCTCTTTTAGGACTCATTTTCTTTTTGTGCTCTCTGCATGTTTACTCACTCCCCCAATTAAAAACCCACCTTAGGTTTCTTTAAAAGTCCACTATATCTTCATAACACTACAGAGTTGTCCAATTAAAACCAAGCTGATCATTTCATTATGTAAAAACCACTTAGCTCCATACAGACCACAGAATTATTACCAGAATTATGAAGAGATTACTGCCAGTTTCTATACCCAGAAGGTCTTCCTTCTATTACTTACTTTTAATCCAGCTGCATAGCCCACTGGTTGTGGGGCAATATTGGACTGAACAGCTTCCCCCATAACCACAGCTAAGCCAAAGACCTCCTGGAAGGCATCTCGGACAGCAGCAACTTTTACTTCTTTATTTGAGGTCACTACAATATCCAGTTCACCTCCAGATTCTACAAACAACAGCAGAAAATTTCAATTCCAAATTAAAATAATCAAATCCTCATAATTACTACCATAAGTTGACATTCATTTGCATAATTATTACTAAGCTCACACAACAATGCATGATAGGAATTTTATTCCAACAAGAGCTTATCCCAGAACTACCAAATTTTCCTTAGTTTTAAAAATGAGAACTAATGCATTATCTAAGGGAATCTATTTGCAAGCAGAAGATGGCACATACCTTCTAATGGTTCTGATTATCACATCTGCCACAAATACAGCACCACACTGTTCTGTATTCTATGAACTACTGTTACAGAACATATTAGTAGCTCTCCCTGATGACAGCGTGATATAGTCAAATAGCTAGGGAGATGCTGCACACCATATTTCTTTCTTGGAAATTTATAAGGTACATTAGCATAAAGATTCTGAGAAATCCAACAATTAAAAATCATGACTATAACCCAGTACTTCCTTGCTTAATCTGTTCATGGAACACTTTTTTAGCATCTAATAATACCTCCTGTTCCATAGATACCTATTTGAGAAATGATGTTAGGGCCACTATGAAAACAGATTTTCTATTATATTGCTCTACTAATTTAGCCAAGTTTCATTTTCTGATTAAATTTTAGATAGACACATTTATTGCATTTTAAAGGCTGTAAATCAAAATGGTTTTTCTACTGTTAATTATTAGAGACATATCTATCATACACAAAATTCTAACACCACATGGATGCCACAGTTGCCAATCCTTCAGCAATCATAGGAATTAAATATCTGACTTGTGAAATATAAGTCACATATTTGGGACACTATTTATAGAAAATGACTTACTGATGTAACCTGTCAAAGACTTGCACAGAAGTTCTGCACTAAAAAAGGACTACCATGAAATATGCTTTTTATCTAGAAAATAGTTTAAAATATGGGAGATGAAGTTTTATTATACATCCCCATCACTGAAAAAAAATATACCACAAATAAATGGATATTTATAAATTATACATCTATTACTGACCTAATACAAATAATGCAAGTATATATTAAAAAAAATGAAATGCCAACTTTTATAAAACCTGAAATTTAAAAAGGCTAAAAGCAATATGAATTTAAAAATTTTAATATTGCAATTATTTTAAAAACCTGTGTACTATTTAGAGTAATTTCATCAAATGTGCCTAATTACTTTTAAGATCTTGAGCTAACATTTCGTGATACACTGAATTCAAAGGCCTGGTTCTCAGCACAGCATACTTTGCTACTTGGCATTAGGCTATCTCTGGTAAGAGAGATTTCTCAAGAAAGCCATCTGTATTGTAAAATATTTTGCCCCAGAAACGATGCTATGGTTTTCCTAATAAATATCTTCTGGATCAGTTGAAAATATTTTCTAAGTATCTGAGTTTTTTATTATAGATCCCCCCCCTTTTTTTATCAGACATTACTAAGACCTAAAAGCAATAGCTCACATAAGAGAGAAGAGGAAACATATTTTTTTCTTGTTTTTTTTCTTCCATATGAGACTTCTCTTGACTCTAGCTGAGTACTACTCCACTAAGCTTTCACTTAGCGTGGCCTTTCATAGCAAAGGGAGAACTAATTAAAAGAATGTAGAAAGTTAAACTGTGTTAAAATATATTAGAGCATTTCTAATAGCTCTTGTGCCTTTATGATGCATTTAAATTTTTAAATCAAATGATTTCAAGAATATCTGAGTAAAAATACCGTTTCACTTTGTTTTATTAGATAAGAATGGTCTTGCTATTCCTGTCAAGACAGTGTCTGCTTTTCCATACTCAGTATTACTTTTTAAAGCTGATTAAGATTATATGTTACATTATCTAATAATATAAACTTCACTTTGTATCTCTTCCTCCATCCTTGGGTGTTTTTTTTTTTTACTTTTTCTTGATGTCATGCAGACTACTGGCTTGAGAAATGGTCTTGTATTATAGTCCTAACTATCATTTTCTAGCATCATTATTTTGTGGAAGTCACTGAACTTATTTTATAGAAAAGCACCTATTACCTCACAGGGCTTGCTCTAAGAATACATAAAATAATGGCTTTCACAGTCTAATACAGTACCCATTAAAAAAGCAAGAGCTCCAAAAATACTTTCTCTCATTCAAAATAGGAGCTTGTGGAGAATATCATGATATGTTCATTGTCAAACTTGATTATTATGAATACGTAAAATCAATATGCATGATAGGGCCAGATTTCTATGTCCTTTAGCAGGTATAAACTCCAAAAATAATTAAGCTGATTTAATTCCTGATTCAAGGGAAGCAAAGTGGTTAGTTGTCAAAAACTGAATATGGGTTTAATCTAGTTCCACCAAGCTGTATGACCTAGGATAACTTAAATCTCTCTGAACCCAGGTTCCTCATCTAAAACTTGAGGAAAATAATACCTACATTGCAGAGCTCTTGGTACAATCAGTGCCTGGCAGAGCAAGCATTTAACAAATGGTACTTATCATTGTTAGATTTTGTCCTTTGACATTTACTACATAGTAAACTACCAACTTAGTCAAGACTCATTAAAACTATTGACTTTTTGCCCTAACCAGTCTGGCTCAGTGGATAGAGCGTCGGCCTGGGGACTGAAGGGTCCCGGGTTCGATTCCGGTCAGGGGCATGTGCCTTGGTTGTGGGCACAACCCCAGTGGGGGGTGTGCAGGAGGCAGCTGATCGATGTTTCTCTCTCATCGATGTTTCTAACTCTCTATCCCTCTCCCTTCCTCTCTGTAGAAAATCAATAAAATAAATTTTTTTAAAAAAACAAGAAACTATTGACTTTTTATTGCCATTAAAAACCTATATTCAGATACCTGGTACACAGCTTTGGCTTGTAAATTACCTTAAACAGAATTACTAATAATTGGTCACTGATATTGCTAAACGATTATATTTTTTCACATACTGGATATGTACATGAAAAATTAAAGAGCAGACTGCATGTCTATGTCAACTGTCTGGAGGATTCTTGGTAATGAAGATTCAAAAATGGATAAAACAGCTTTCACAACAAGTAATTACAGTAATCTACAGTATTATTAATAGATTAACTTCCTCTAAAAATATTATTACTGCGTTAAACATATACTTATTTAAAATAGATAACTGAAGAAATGTCAAAACCAAATATAAACAAAGCATCACTTCAAATATCAACAGTGAATAAAGTAAGTCATATAAAGCAAATGACTAGTCACATTTACACTTAAATTCAGTAAGTATGCATACTAGTAATTCATACTGTTTTTACTCCTCCAAAATTTATTCTGAGGAGTTTTCAAAATACATTTAATGGTGATTAAGAAAAAGATGAATTAAAAATACCAAGACTAAGATTGGACAATCAATATAAGACTATTAAGAGGATTTCTACCAATTTTAAGACCTGTGGATTTCCAATTAATGGCTAATATTAGCACATACTTTTAAAATACATGGCAGATGCTAGTCTATCTTAAGTACATACTGATATATGGAGCCATGCCAGGGTCCAGCGTTGTAATCATGCTTTCTACAGAATGTTTTGTTTTATCAAGCACAGATTTCACCATAGGATTCCCAGCTACACCCTGCATAAAACAAATTAACATATAAATACCCATTCTAAGCAAAGAAAACAATGATCACCCGATAATGAAATAAATTATTTAGGTTTCCAACGCATCACAAAACCGTACTTTTATAAAATATAAGAAACACAAGGTTATAACAATGTTAAATTGCTATTAAATTTCAAAATGCTTACTCTCAATTTCTCTTCTTATCTATCACAAACCCACAACAAACTGCAGACCACATTTTTAGTAGCACTGGTCTGTGACGTATGTATATTGTATCTACATATGTGTGTATGCATATATATTTACTTAATTTCTATGTATATGTTATTTCACTTATTTATCTAAAAGACTAGGCAAAACTTGTCCATCAAGTTCCCAAATAAAGATTGTAATCAGATGTCTCCATAGACCCATACTTTGTTCCCTAATAAAAAAATAAAAATAGTGAAAACATTCTTATCTATTCCCCAAAGCAGCTACCTGTTACCTTAATATAAAATATTCTGCTATGTTTTACCAGAGTTTCTTCTTTGTCCTATTTCCTGTTTCTTGTTTTGTTCATACCCAAAGTCTCACTTTTAAGCCAGGCCTCTGGACTGTGTGTTTTTTTTCCAATTAGAATTAACATTCAATATTACATTAGTTTCAGATCTACAGCATAGTGAACAGATCTTTATATAACTTACAAAGTGATCCCTCGACAGGCCTTGCACCCATCTGATTCTTAAAACCACGTATTAGAAATAAGGAGCCAGGTCTGAGTACCTCCTTCCCGTGCTACACTTCTCCCATGGTAAAAGATTCTTGAGAGAGCAATGACTCAAGATGGCATCAGGCTAACAACCATGATCCCACCTCTTCCAACCTACCATTACACTAAAGTGATTCAGAAAAAACAATGAGTTCGTTAACACTGACATTGAAGACTGTCAACCAACCTTATGCTGAACATCAGAAGTTATTCATAAAACCTGGAGAGCAAAACTGGGTATTCAACTGATAACTGACATAATGGTATGCTTTTCACAAGAAAAGTGACAGTCCTAATATAAAGAAAGCCTTTAAAAAGCAGAGAGAGATATGAAAAAATAACAGCTTAGAAAAACGCCATCTTCATGAAACATGAAAAATGCGGTAAGTCAGTCAACCACATACTAATACCTAAAAATGTTTAATATACAACTAAACTGCAGCCAAGCCACCAGCAGAATATTGGTGGGGGATTGTGGGGGGTACTCATGGAGTGATTCCAAATTTCACCAAGAAAAATAAATGGAAAAAATAGTAAAGAAAATTTTTAAAGAACAGAGAAATTAGCAAACTTATACATAACCAAATACTGATGTATCTTTATGGATGCAGAGACCTGAAACTGACCTCGCATACTCATCAACAAACACTCTGCCGTCCCCACCTCAGCACAGAGTAGGCTTTCAATGAATATTAATAGTTACAAAAACTAAAATAGTGTAGAACTATTGCAAGGACAGGCAGAGCAGTGGAATAGAATGCAGAGCCCAGAAGCTGATACTAACCAACAATTCAGTAACTGAGATAAAGGTGACATATCAAATCTCTGAGATATTATGTTGGAATAGTCGATTAAGTGGTTGAAAGAAAATTAAAATTGACGTCTACCTCATATATTAAAGTAGGTATAGCTACGTTAAATTGTCAAGTATAAAAAAATAATTAAGAAACCAAAGAAAAACATTTATCATATATTAATATTGGAAAAAATCATTTTTATCATGAAAAAAATTGAAAAGAAAGAAGACTGATAGAAATGAGTCCTGAAAATTTAGAAACTTTTGTACAAAAAGCATATTCTTACTACAATTATCAGATCTTATGAATTCATTAAGAAAGTCATCCCAATTCAAAACTGAGCAAAGAACAGAGATTTCTCAAAAGAAAACTAAATTGTAAATAAATCTGAAAAAAAAGTTCAAATTCAGTAACAAAGAAATGCAAATTAAAACAAGGTATTTTCTTGCCTTTCAAATTAGAAAATATTGTACTTCAACATAATCATTGCTAGCAAAGTGAAAAATGCTGTAACAGTCTATTTTGGAATAACCTTCTTGGACAACAATATGTATCAGTAATTTTTTTAAATTTTGTTTTATTGCTTAAAATACTACAAAGAGTGGTACATATGTCTCCCTTTTTCCCCCCTTGACCTTCCCCCAGTCTCCCCTACCCCCCGGTGTCTTGTGTCCATTGGTTATGCTTATATGCATGCATTCAAGTCCTTTGGTTGATCTCTTACCCCTGTATCAGTAATTTTTAAAGTGTTCACTTGCACATATATTGGGAATTAATCCTGATGAAACAGATGAACACAAAGATCTGCATATAAGAGCACTCATCATAGTTTTATTGATAAGAATTACAATTAGAAAATGCCAAATCACATTAGCAAAATAAAATATGGGAAATAAATGCAATGACATGTAGGGCAAAGCAGCCAGAAAGAAAAAATTTCTGAAAATATGCTATGGCTAGGAAGATATTCCTGATATACCGTAGGTAAAGACAAACAAAAGACATCTCCACATGCACTACCCCAATTTGATTTTTATTTAAAGAGATTAACATCCACATAGATATGCACAAACAAAAGACTGAAACTATAGAAAACTGGTAAAGAGAATAAAAATCATTTTTTCTTTTACACCATTTTATATTTTCAAAATTCTCTCTAATTGAATGCCTATTAGTTTCATAAAAGTTAAGCATGGTTTTTAAAGTAAATAAGCTCACCTTGATAAAACCCCAGAGTCCACTCCCAGATGCTTCATCCTGATCTCTAACAATTCTAGGATCTTCTTGTTCCTCTGGAAAAGTAATGGCTGAGGTGGTTTCAGTTCCCGGGGCCAGAGGTGTCAAACTGGCTTGCTGAGTAATGGGGGCTGGCAAAATACCTAGTTAATGGCAAAAATGTTTAATATATGTAATTTATTCCATAAACGATTTCCTATAAAAAGAAGATACAATATATGAGATGAGCAATTTAAAACAGCTTAAATAATGTATCTGTATACCCAGGCATTTCAAGATTGAGTTATGAACTCAAAGAATCACTTAAAACTATTTTATAAAATACAAATGAAACAAAATTCCAAAAAATAAATTTTTTTTCCATAGGCTTACACCAATTGTCCCGAAAATGTACAAATAAAATAACAAGCAAAAAGTACTTCATGCTCTGGACAGTGTTCCTCAGTGGTTAGAGTGCCACCCCGTGCACAGAAGGGTCACAGGTTGGAGTCCTGGTCAAAGGCATATACCTGGGTTTCAGATTCACTCACCACTCTTGGTTAGGGGCATATGGGAGGGCAACCAGCTAATGTCTCTCTCTCACATCCATGTTTCTCTCTCTCACTCTCTCCCCCTCCCTCCCTTCCACTCTCTATGAAAAGCAATGGAAAAAATATCCTCAGGTGAGGATTAACAAGAAAAAAAAATTATTTCACATTTACTCTATTTAGCACTTGGATGTGGTCAGCTATAGTTCTAATCTGTTTAGTGCATAATAATCACTGGTGTAAGCACCCAAGCCCATCACATAAAAGCATATAACAATTAGTACACATACTCTCTATACCAGTGATGGTGAACCTTTTGAGCTCGGCGTGTCAGCATTTTGAAAAACCCTAACTTAACTCTGGTGCCGTGTCACATATAGAAATGTTTTGATATTTGCAAACATAGCAAAACAAAGATTTATATTTTTATATTTATTTTATATATTTAAATGCCATTTAACAAAGAAAAATCAACCAAAAAAATGAGTTCGCGTGTCACCTCTGACACACATGTCATAGGTTCACCATCACTGCTCTATACCCTACTTAAACTCAAAAAGAAAATTCACATACACATAAACATGGGTATAATACTTTTACTCTACAAAAAAAATTATTTGTAAAGGTTGATATGCAAAGTTGGATAATAAAAATTACAGCAAAGTTGTTTCATTTCCTAAAATAAGAAATGATAGGCAGAAAATAACAAGGATGAAGTTTTAATATTGGTTTCTAACAACCATTCCAGAGAGGCCAATAGAAGGTATAGCTGACCTAGAAAAGGAAATGACCCAATACCACCAATTTACAGCACACAGAAGCTTTTAAGTAAAGTTTTAAAAATTCCTCAAATTTCACCTTGATGTTTCTCAATAAGTGCACAAAATATTAGGGCAAAATTTTGGAATTTTGTCTGACAGTCCACATACTAATCATGTACTTCTAAGTTTTACAACATATAAAAATCATATTCTAAGCTACATCAGCTTTATTTTAATAATTTAAATAGCAAAAACATGAGAATAGGAAACTCTGAAAGTCCAAGAAATGAGTTTAAAACATTAATGCAGAGAAACTGGAACCCCTACACATGGCCGGTAAGAGAGCTGCTTTGGAAAACAGTGTGGTGGTTTTTAAAGTCAGCAATTCCATGCCTACGTACATATCCAAGATAAATGAAAATATGTCTACACAAAAACTTGTACACAAATGTTCATAGAAGAGGTACACAAATGTTCATGGAAGAGGTATTCATAATAGCCAAAAAAGTAGAAACCACCACCAATGAATTAAATAAACAAAATATGGTATATCCGTTGAATGGCACATTACCCAGCCATAAAAAGGAATGAAGTATTGACATATGCTACACGGATGAACCTTGAAAATATGCCAAATGAAAAAGCCAGTTACAAAAGGCTACAGCATATAATAAGATTCCATTTACATAAAATGTCCAAAATAGGCAAATTCGGAAGCAGAAAGTACATTAGTGGTTGCCTAGGGCTGTGAGGATTTGGGAGGAAGTAGGGAGTGACTGCAAATAGTCTTATAGTTTCTTTTTGGAGTGATTAAAAGGTTCTAAAATTGTGGTCACGGTTGCATAATTCTGAAAATACATTAACTAATGAATTACACCCTTTAAATGTGAGAATTACATGGTATGCAAATTATATCTTATTATTATTTGAAAAACAAAACATTTGAAAAACAAAACATTAGCTGTAACCACTTATTTCAAAGTATGAGTAAGAGAGGATTACCCGTTACTGGAGGTGCAGAAAATGACGGCATCAGGGGTGTCTGGGGAGCTCTTCCTGCATGTCCCCTTGTAATGTCATATGCTGATCCGACAGAAAATCCTGATGTAGGAGGACCCGAAGGGGGCGCAGATGGAAGAGTACTTGGGGCAGAAGTTGAAGTTGGGAAGGGGGATAAAGGAGGATTACTAAAGGCTGCAGCAGTTGGTGGAGACACAGGAGGTGGTATAGCGGTAACAAGTGGTGGAGCAGAAGGAACTGGTGAAGGAGGCACAAAAGGCAATGATGCTGAAGGCCTCACAGGAGGAAGGGATGGCTGAGGGGTAGAGGATGCGTGTGGTGGCAGGGACTGCACAGAAGATACATTTGGAGAAGACAATGAACTGGTTGCAGCTAGGAAAAAGGGAAGAGAAAAAAAAAGACAAAATTGGAAACACACATAGTTTTCATGACTTCCTTCTTGCAAAATGTTTAAATATAACAGACCATATCCCATGATTTAAAAAATGTGCAATTTAAAATATACAACAAATATGACTTCCAACTCCCAAAAAGACTTAATAAAATAAGTTTTAATATATGCATTTTTTAAATTGACACAGAAAAGAGAAGTCTCTTCACTATCCTTAAAACACACTATATGCGGGGACCCTTATCCCCCTCCCTATGTGGGAGTCCATTCTGTGGAACTGGTGCCCTCTCCCCACGTGGGAGTCTGTACTTTTTCTTGAATAAAACTCCATCTTTGCTATACCAAAAACACACACACACACAAAAAAAAAACACTATATGCTAGACAACTCCATGTACCCAAAGGAATGGGGGTGGAACACATCGCGGCAGAAGCAGCAGAAGCAGCAGCAGTAGCAGCAGCCAGTCCTGCTGCAGAATTTGGTGGAGGAGTTCCAGGTGGTGTTGTCTCTATTCCACTCTCTTCCATCATTTTTCTTCAATTATGATATACTGTAAAATTATAAAAATGTAATAAGTGTTACACAGTAGTCAAAGCGTATTCTTAAAGCTTGTATAGTTAGAGAATAATTTTAAAGAATAATCTTTCGGGTGGGTGTTTCAGGCTTCTTAGGATATATTCCTAGAAGTGGGATCACTGGGTCAAACAGCAATTCCATTTTTAATTTTTTGAGGAAATTCCACACTGTTTTCCCCTAGTTGTACTAGTCTGCATTCCCACCAACAGTGTACTAGGGTTCCCTGTTCTCCACACCCTTGCCAGCACGTGTTTGTTGATTTATCTGTAATACTTTCAACAATAAAGATAATAAAAAATAATAAAGAAATATACCAAAAACAAAAGAATAATCATTAAGAGACAGATGTCTTTATGTTTACAATGCCACTTATTTCCAGATGAAGGGTCTGTCAAAATTCCTAAAAAAAAAAAAACAGTCTGGAAGAATGTTAAATAGGCAATCTGTGACATACTTATTACTGGGAAATAATTTTATGTTGACTATATAATTAATCATTATGATTTTATGTTAACTATAATTACTCTTCCAATAATTTCAAACAGTAAATTACTAATTTACTTTCTGTCACACGCATGCATTTTATTTTTATTTTAAATATATTTTTTATTGATTTCAGAGAGGGAGAGGGAAACGGAGAGAGAAACATCAATGATGGGAGAGAATCATTGATCAGCTGCCTCCTGCACACCCCACACTGGGGATAGAGCTGGCAACCCAGGCATGTGCCCTTGGCCGACATTGAACCCGGGACCCTTCAGTCTGCAGGCCAACACTCTATCCACTGAGTCAAACCAGCTAGGGCGATGCATTTTAGATTTATATCTGGGTTCTAGTCACTATTACATTTAAAATAAAAATCAGTATTTTTGAAACACTTCTTCTTACCCAATAAAGCACTGTATGTGGGCTACTTCCATTAACACTGAAAAATAATAAAATAGGCTCAATTCTCGGTTTTCCTCACATTAATGGCTAAATGATGTCAGAATTTTAGAAGAGTTAACTATAGAAAAAATGCCACTAGATACCAGAATCCTAACAGACGATAATGATGACAAAATATGGAAAAATTCCTTTATAAATTACAAAATTTCAAGCCTGTCTCCAGCATAAATTCAAAACTTCTAAATACACCAAATTTGTTTTTTATATTTTTACTCATTTATCCTTCAGTAAAGGTTGACTACTTGCGAAGCATTGTACTGGCACCTCTGGAAAAACAATGGATGCAAAAACAGGATACTTACAGTCCAGGAGAAAATCAAAGAGTAATACCAATGCACAAAGAATTGTAGCCTGAGGTATGTGCTCTGGGTGTGAGACAGTTTTGTATGACAGGAATTATTTTGACCTGAAGGTCAGGAAAGGGTCCCCCAAGGTTCTGAAGAATGTGCAGAATTTAATTAAGACAAAAAAAGTGAATGTATAGGAAGTATACAGGCCCTGACAAGGTAGAGGAAATAAGACACATTAAGAAATCCCATGGGGCACAAAACAGAAAAGAATGAGGACTGGAGACATAGGCTCCAGTGCTGAGCCTTATAAGCCAGGTTAAGGAATTGGGTTGTTTTTCTTAATATTTTAAAGAATTAGTAAGTGTTTCATTTTGTTAAAAATGTTTTTTTAAAATTGATTTTTAGAGGGAGAGGGATAGATAGAAACATCGATGCGAGAGGAACATCCATCGATCAGCTGTGTCCTGTATGCTTCCTACTGGGGATTGAGCCCGCAATCCCGGCATGTGTCCTGACTGGGAATCAAACCGTGACCTCCTCGCTGAGCCACACCAGCTGGGCAGGAATTTTTTTTAAGGACAGAAAATCACTATAGGGCATTTAAGCTGGATGTGACATTGTTGTCTTTTGTTTTAACGTTTTGAAGAAATTTTAAATTCACAATAAGATGCAAAAATAGAACAGAGCTCATGAGTACCCTTAACCCAGCTCCTCCCAATAACAGCATCCTATATAATAAAAGGCTAATATGCAAATCAACCTAATGGCGGAATGACCGATTATGACACACACCAACCACCAGGGGGCAGAAGCTTAACACAGGAGCTTCCCCCTGGTAGTCAGTGAGCTCCCACAAGGGGAGTGCCACTCAGCCAGAAGCCCTGATCGGGGCTCACAACTAGCAAGCACAGTGGCAGTGGCGGGGGCCTCTTCCACCTCTGTGGCAGCACTAAGGATGTCCAACATCCCCCAAGGAATGCTTGACTGCGAGAGAGCACAGACCGGGCCGAAGGACCCCCTGCCCTGAGTGCACGAATTTCGTGCACTGGACCTCTAGTCTTATATAATCGAGTACGATGATAAAACCTAGGAAATTAGCGTTGGTACAATAGTAGTAATCAAACCATAGACCTTACTTGGATTTCACCTGTTTTTATATTTGTGCGCGTGTGTGAGTATAGTTAGATGAAGTTGCATCATAACCATCATCACAATCAGGATACAGAACTATTCTGTCACCCCCAGGAAACCCCTTGGTCACATCCTGTCATATGCTTCCACCAACCATAAGTCCTGGCAAAAAATTTTCTCGAATGTTTTCTCGTTTTGTGAATGTTACATCAATAGAATCGCACGCAGCATATAACCTTTTGAGATAGGCTTTTTTCCACTCAGCATAATGCTCTTGAAACCCATCAAGTTGCTGGGTGTATCGATAGTTAGTTATTTTTTTACTGCTGAATAGTGCTCCATTTTATAGATGTACTAGTTTTATCCATTTATCTCCTGAAAAACATTTAGACTGATTCCAGCGTTTGACAACTCATATTTGTGCTGAGAAGATTCTTTTGATGACAGTATGCAAATTGGGCCACAGGACAGTCAGAGTAAATGCAGAGAGACCATTAAGAAGGATTCAGAAGTAGTTCAAGTAGGAAGTAATAACACCCTAGACCAAGGGTGGGCAAACTTTTTGACTCGAGGGCCACAATGGGTTCTTAAACTGGACCGGAGGGCCGGAACAAAAGCATGGATGGAGTGTTTGTGTGAACTAATATAAATTCAAAGTAAACATCATTACATAAAAGGGTACGGTCTTTTTTTTTATTTTTTATTTTTATTCATTTCAAATGGGCCGGATCCGGCCCGCGGGCCATAGTTGGCCCACAGCTGCCCTAGACACCTAGGGAGGTGGGGAAGAAGGTGCTTCTGACACTTTTGGTTGTCAGAACTAGAAAGGTACTACTGGAATTTAGTAGATAAAGGCTGGGGTACTGCTAAAAATCCTACCACACACAGGGCAGCCTCCACAAGAAAAAATTACTTGGCCCCAAATAGCAATGCCAAGGTTGAAAAACTTTGGCCTATACTAAAGTGGTGCCAGTGGAGCTAGAGAAGAGTGGATTTAAAGAATGTTTAGGTGGTGATAGACTGGATATGGGTCAATTACTGGTGAGACATTTGACTTGCACAACTGGACAGAGATGGGTATCATTGACATAGGGGACAATGGAAGAGGTATTTGCTTGATATCTTTCCGGGGTTAGGGTTATGTAGTGTTTACATTGGGCATGCTGAATTTAAGTCCCTTGAAACATCCAAGGAAAGACAATGACTTGGTTTGTAGCTTAGAAACCACACAAGCATGGGTTCCTTTATTTTACCTAGTCTCCAAAGTCATGTTCTGAGATGACTAAGAGAATACCAAGTGAAAAGAGAATACGAGCCAACCAGTCATTGAAGAAGAGCCAGGCAGAAGACAAGTGTACAGAGAAGAACAAGAGATGATCAGAAAGATAGGAAGAAAACCAGGAAGACTGTGGTGTCCAACAGCCAGTGTGTTCCAAGGTAGAAACAGGGAACAGTATTAAAATCTGCAGAAACAAAGAGGATGGCATCTAAAACTTCAATGGATTTGTTAAACTGGAGATGATGTAGTGAGAGCTATTTCCATGGAAGGAATGGGGTAGAAGTCTGTCTAAATTGGACTGAGGAGTGGGAGGCAAATATGCATGATCTCTTCCCAAAGCAATCTCTTCTTCATCTTCCCATTTTTCTATAAGCATTCATGTCCTACTACAGACACTACTGAATCCTTACAATGGCTAGTGGAAGTCAGACTTAAAGATGACCCTCATCCCCAACAGTAACAAATGTGTTGGCAAAAGAACTTGCCCAATGAATACAATCCGTAGTATGGAATAATTAGGCCATTTATTTCAGACTTTAAAAAGCTTTACTCTTTGAGAATCGGCTTAATGACAATATTGGGTAAATTTTGTATACATAAATGTAATACCTCCTACTACTAAAGAAAATCTATCGTAAAATAACAGCGAAGCCCCAACCGGTTTGGCTTGGTGGATAGAGCATCAGCCTGCAGACTGAAGAGTCCAGGGTTCGATTCCGGACAAGGGCATGTACCTTGGTTGCGGGCACATCCCCAGTAGGGGGTGTGCAGGAGGCAGCTGATCGATGTTTCTCTCTCATCGATGTTTCTAACTCTCTATCCCTCTCCCTTCCTCTCTGTAAAAAATCAATAAAATATATATTTTTAAAAATAACAGTGAAGTGTCAGAGTGGTTAAAGGTTTTAGTGCTCAAGCCTGAGCACAAAAAGGAATATTTATGTATCAACGTTAAAGTGGATGGCTACTTATAAGGATACAAAAAAAAATCAGTGGAATAATGGAACTTTGATAACCGTAAAAGCAATTACTGTTGATGTATTACAGGTGCAAAAGCTGGTCTCTATTACCAACGAGTGAGCGCCTGAACAGGGGCTGGGTTTTCAGTCTTTGCACTCTCAGCTCTGATCCCCAAATAAACTTCCATCAATGTTCACTGAATTAAACAGTGGCTGGCATTAGGAAGCCTGGAGTGCCCAAATGTGCCATTTCACAGAAATGTACATGGCGTCTCTGAAGACTACTTTGAATGACAAAAACTCTCTTGGATATAAACTCTGCCCATTTGGGATACAGGCTCCCCTGAAACGTTGCCTGCAGGAGGTCCCGGGAGCTAACAAAGAGCAGAGTACAAAAGCCCCCTGGAG